ATAGTAAGAACTGTAGTCTCATTTCCACTCTTATTAATTCAGGCTTGCATCCTAAAGAATGTGCTGTGCAATATTTATGCCAACAGCGCTGAAATGCTATAGTACATGGCATATTATAGGCTTGGAATAGTTGATTGGTGATGTCATACGTTGAGTGGGAAACATTTTTCAGTGGAAGCTGACAACTCTGGTAGGACATCTGAATAACAGGAAAAAGAGGGATCATTATGTATGTTTCTAATCTACCCCACCCAGTGTTTTGCATTGCTCTCCAGGAACAGTCATGATCACTGATAGCCTGCAGCTTCCTCTGAGCAACACGCACGTACTATGGAAGCTGAATGGTGTAGATTGCAATGACCTTCTCTGAGTTTTTCCCATCAATTCAAAATTATATCTATATCTATTGATAAATATTCTAGGGGACTCAATTGACCTGATGAATTAGGAATCAGAACTGTGTAAGTAATGGAAAGTTTGATGAGGTGGTTACACAAAAATGTTTTAAAAAAGAAAGAAAGAATGAAAGAAAATCCACAGAGAGACATTTCAGTTTTGGTTTGGCCTGATATGGAAAATATTAGTTTTAAGTTGACCCCAAATTTTTCATTTGATACACACACAAAAAAAGAAATGTTTATTTGCATCTTTGAGGGTTGGGTTATTTCAGTGGTGTTAATAGAGGTAGGCAACCAGGGCACCAGCCCCAGGCACTGATTTACAAAGGGGCAAGAACAACAGCTGCTGCCCCCTGGGACATATAACATGTTTGCTTTGGCTCTGGGTTATTATGTCTTCTTTTTCCCCCGTCCCTCTTTTATTTTTTGTCGGTTTCAAAATGAAAATCATTTACAACTAAAAAATCAAAATGGTGTATTTAAAAATGCTGAACTGACTCACTTTGACACAATCTACTTTTTTACTTGTCTTGGTCAAAATTATTCATTGACTTTACCCCAGGTGCATAATTTATTTTGTTCCCCTTAAAAAAATTCATTTTTCATCCAATTATATTATTCATTAAGAAAAATAATCACTCAGCTCTGTTGATAGTGATATCATTAGTTTGAGTTTCTGAGGCAAATCCAACCTTGGTCACAACTTGTTCCTCATCTGATGGGTGCCAGGTGGATCATTGCTTAGTGGACAGGTTATGACCTGCCTTGGCCATCCTGGAGAAAGCTAAGGAGCAGCTGGACCATATTGATTGAATTACTACCTGGTCCCTTTGAGGCTGTCCTGCCATTGTAGGGTTGCAGGTGTAATGAAGTTTGGTGTCTTGCTACCATCGCTGCACTTCTCCTTTGTCTTCATGGAGATGCAGGATTGTTCTTACACCAGCATGACATCAGACAAATCCTCACTAGCTTGGGAATTGCCCTGACAATGGAAGAATTGGCTTTACCAAGCTATCTAAATCAGCTGGTGCATCCAGTAATACCCCCACAGTACTGACCTTTCAAATCAGGGAACTACATTAAAGAGACACTTGAGACCAGCTATAGTTATAGTTTGAGCAACTGCTGTTTTTGTCACATTGCAATATATAGCTGCTCCCTCAACATCACCTACACTTCCTGCAGTATAAATCACATCTGTATTTGCACATGTAAATAAAAGAATTAGCTTCAGGGCATTGACTTAGAGCTCTAACATTCAGCTGGGAAGGATATTAAAGAGAAGGAAAAATGAATCCCTGACACAAAGCTTCATTTCCTCTGCTACTTTTTTTTTTTTTTTATCATTTACTCTTTTTTTTTTTGCTTATTTAAATAATCCATGTTGGGAGATCATGGCTGTATCTCAGAGAGGATGCAGAATAATTCCCCCAGGCAGATAACATGGCTCTCAGACAAGGTTACCACCTGTCCTAGTTTTTGCAAACACCCCTGTGCAGGATGTAGACAATACTGACCTCTCAACTCTTCAGAGCCTCCTGCACCCAGCTGGCCTGTGTCAGCTCCCTTTTGCTGCATCCACCCAAATAACAGTTCCTTTAGAAGCTATTTCTCAATACACTTTTGTGCTCATGCCTCATGAGAGAAGGCTCTTAATTCTGAGGAAGAAGGAGCTGCTCAGTCTTGCTGCAAGGCAGATGTGCTCTCTGGGAATATTGTTATCATCTACAAAACCCACCTCTACATTTCTTCAGTATTTGGGTCACCCAAAAAATAAGGAAGATTCAGTGATAAACTGAGAGGCCAATAAACAGAAAATCTTTAGCAAGGTTCATAATAATGGGTGTTCACCATGCATGTGCATAGTGCCTGGCCTGGTAATGCAGACTGTATCACCAAAGTATTGCTCCAACTAAATTCTCATGACAGAGTTGCCCAGTGCACTTATCACATCCTTAATGAGCAAAGTCTTCTGAGCTGTTTTCTCATTAGAAGACAGGTCCACAAACCTGAATCTCTTAAGATAGTGATTCTTAAGCAAGGTACCACAGTTGCAGGGTGCCACACACTGTTAGCTCTGTTAGGTGTACAAACATTCAAAAACAGAGAATTAAACTGTGAATCATAGTATGAAAACATTCTGACCTGGTATGGTCTTTCTCAGTTCATTGCAACAGAATTACTCTACTTTTTTCTATAGTCAAAAATATTAATTAAAATTAAGAGTTGACATTTTCCAAGGATTGCCTTGAGTTCAAGGAGGGGTATCTTGAGTCTAAAAAACATTGAGAACCACTGCTGTAATTCTACAGTTCCTCAGATATGATCAGCAATTTAAGATGCTTCAGTGTTCATGGTGACCAATGTGAGCTACCTTAACAAAGCCTGATTTTCAGGGGATGGGATGCTCTTTCTGCCAATCATGTCCCTGTAAAGTGCCTTTAAAGCGAGCTACCAAAACCCAAGAACACAGAAACCACTAGTCACATCCAAAAATCTTGGCCCAAGTACCTACAGCCAGATTTCTTTAAAGGTATTTAGGTACCTAATTCCCACTGAAATCTGTGGGTTAGACACCTAAGTGCCTTTAATCTGGATTTTACTGCATTCAACCCTGCAACGTTTTTCCTTTGCTTTCTCTTCAAAAGAAGAATTAAATGTCAGGGACTGATCTTACATTATTCTAATAGACAGGTTAGAGAAGGAGACTGGCAGCCTGATCTATCTGTGGAAAAGAATTCTCCATTATGCAGCTTTCAACAGGGTTGGTGTATTTGTGAGATTATTATTGGACAAGGCTGTGCATCTCTTCCCCTTTGATCGCTCTCTGCTTTGGTCTCTCTTTCTTTCAAGAATTATTTTTTTTTATTATATTTTCTCATCGCTGGGTCTTGAAAGGAAAGGCCCAAGGTAGCGAGTCAGCAATCTGTCAGTACATCACTGTTCAAGCTTCAAGTAAAGCACTGAAGCAAGTTCTTGCCAACATCCCATTTGAGAACCATTGCACAAAGGAATTTGTTATTCTCCTGTCAGTGACTTGAACAATTTTACAGCTGTACATAAGGTTCAGCAGGTTGCATATTATACCCAGTGATAGGGAAACAAATAAATGCATGAAATAGGCCAAGCAACCAAGGAAGACCACACCTTGTGCTTATATACAGCACCTTCCATCTACCAGTCTGAAAGCACTGGGGTTGCTTTGCTCATGTGTACTATTGCTTAGTTGAAATAGGATCTTCATCTTGTAGAACAGCAGAGTTTCTTCCATTCATGCTTTAGGAGCACATATGTTGTGTTATGTTCACTTACTTCCAAAAAACATAGTGAGCCATTTGTCTAGTGTGGTTAAGGCACTCTCACTTCTGTACCCAAAGGCAACAAGGGAGGGATGTAGGTAGCATCACGTCCACCTGCCTTTGGCTTCTCAGGTTAAATGACCGGTTACGGGTTTGGGGCTAGATTGACTGGAAGCAGCCTTTGGTACAAGTCAAGGCCCAGATGCATGCTCCCATCTGCTCTGTGTATTTACTATACCAAGGAGCAAGCCCTGAGTCCAACATACAGGCCAGGATTCTCAGGAGATGTACACAAGGGAAAGAGAAGAGGCAAGCTTCTCCCAAAGGAGCCCTGTTTTGCCCAGTGACTGCCCTACCACTCCCTGTTTCAGGTCTTATCTGGCCCTAGCAGTACCATGTTGTGATCAAAGTTTTAAGTCTATAACCTCCTCTTCCTCATACTACCACAGATGGAACAATACAAAGAGATGGGCTACCTTGATCCACCATCGCTTACAAAACCTGTTCATATTTAATAGCAGCACAGTAACTTTAGCCTTTGGTCTAAGGCTGTACAAGACCACATCTTTAGGTGCTAGAATCTGGTCTAGCCTCACTAACTCAGCAGAGATGTGTTGATTTTTATCAGGTGAGGATCTGGCCCGAATATCTCTAAATTGCTCAAAAATGTAATTTAATGTAAATACATTTCAGACCCTTTAACAAATTTATCACAGACTGTGATACATTAGAGTGAGGTTTTCATAAGCACTCAAAACTGGTCTCATTCTGCTTTCACTGGGCACGTATACATGTGCATATTAATGCGACACAATAAACTCTGGCACAGTTTGCATCGGAGTTTATTGCTCCTGGGTGAAACATTTACACATGTGCCCAGGACCGCAGCATGCTGAGCCAGGGCAGAGCATCCCCAGCTGGCAGGGAACCTGGGGGACTCAACATGTTGTGAAGGGGATGGCTGGGCCACAAAGGTGCTTCAGTGCATGACTTGCCAGGAGGCATCCCCTGCACTGAAGCACACTCATGCCCCAACAGCATCTATACATGTGTTGCAACAGAGTAAATAACTCTGCTGTAGGATAGTACTTGTATCTGGCATATCTGTCAGTACTAAACTATAGCAGAGTTAAGTAGTTTACTCCAGCTTAATTGTTCCACATGTAGACTGGTGACACTTTACTGTGAAGCTAATTAGGCAATTTTGCAGTAAGCATCTTGTGTAAACACGCCTACTGAGACTTAGACAAATCTTTTGACAGTCCTAGCTGCACCATTCCAACATGCACATCCATTTCCTTACCTCACTTAATCGACAGCACTCATCCATGTACTCATCCAGACTGTCACTCGTGGGATATTTCTTAAGTTGATTTCCATGAATTTGAAGATCCTGCATGCTGCCAAAGGTCTCTTTGTAATGGCTAGTGGTGGTCTTTTGCTCTTCCATGGGAGGCACAGTTGGAGGAGTGTCATGAATGGGGAGGTCTGTCTCTTTGCTGGGTTCCTCTTCTAAAGACTGCCCTTTGCTTTGGCCAAAATGTTGATCAGGACTTTCTCCCTTCTGACAATTGCTGAAATCTTCCAGGGAAGATGTAGGAATCTGCATAGAGTCTACCACCTGGCTGTACTGCTCCACTTGATTCTTGCTCTCTGGAGCATTCCTGTTGGGATTAGCTTCTCCAGGTTCTTGACATGTTCTCATTATAAGGTGGTCAATTTCTGGAGAGGAAGAGGCACTGAGCACTCCAGAATCACAAGAGGAGTCTCTGCTGTGAAGCACAAAACTCTTCTCAGAGCCCTTTGGTGTGGATGGAGAATTAGCCCCACTTGGCAACTCAACCCCAGAGTCCTCAGATTCAAATTTGGAGAATCTGTGGAGCCGGCACTGGGTTTCCAAGGTGCTGAGATCAGACAGGCCAGCCGTGTAATCTGGATTTGCTGGAGTGTCTGTTACATCAAGGTTTCCCTGGATGTTGACTGGGGGAAGCCTGGATTCTTCTGCACAATCTGGAGCGGCAGGAGGCTCCAGATCCTGACTCCCTTCATAGCTTAGCATCTTCATGTGAGTCAGCACGACTTTGTCCTCAGAGGGAGGGCTCTTCTTGCCTGCTAAAGCAAAAGCACACTGACAGTCACAAGGGCAACACAGTTTATTCCCTGCAATCATACGCAGCCCTCCTCCTGAAAGGAATGAAATATGGACAGCTAAATTCATGGTTTATGCAAGCATTAAGCAAATACTGATGGGGGTGGGGGAAGGGAAGGGGATGCATACGTGCATGAATGAGTAAAACAGACTTTTCCTAGCACATTATATCTATAGAAAAAATGTTACATGACACAAATACAGGCTACTATCAGTAGTGCAATTGCTGCTACCAACAACACAGTATTGGTAGGTCAGTACAGTTTTTGGTACAGATGACTCATAAACTTGTGCTTCAACAGCAGAATTATGCTTTATAGACACCCAGTCCTTCAGGAAGACTCCTAAATGTAGGTTGAGTACCTGAGGGCTGAATTTCCACATGGCACAGATGTGAAACAACACATGTAGTCAGCTGACTCCTTTAGTGATTGCACATGTACAGATGATGAAGAGCTAAGAAAATAAGCAAATTAAGTTCAGAATTCTGTCCCACCCCCTCTCTCCCCACTCCCATTGATTTATTTCTTGTCTTCCCCTCTCCCTAACAGCAGAAATTGGAGTAACAAATTTGAATCTACAAGGCATCTGTATAAATTCTAGATTGTAATAAGCAAATTTACAGGCTGTTTGGTTAATGGCTGGGTATCCTCTGCATCAGATTCGGATGTTAAAAAGCAGGAAATGACTGAAAAAAATTCAGCCAGGAACTACAGTTGTTTCCAAGTCCTTTTGGGTGGACATGAAATGAAATGTTTACACAGGGTAACTGGCATTAAAAAGATAGCGGGCAGATGACAACATACCCCTATACTAGAATAACTTCACCAAGTCCAGTGGAGAATTACCCCTGAAAAAATAAGAAGTAAAATTCTATTGGGGTAAGTTTAAATTGCATCTGCCTGTGTCCATCGCTGGGTAGCTGTTTGCTGAAGACAAACAGGTAACCTGCTACTATGTTACCTAACAATGAGGCATAATCATAACCACCTGCTATGAGTGCTACCCTGATTATCTGCCCCTGCCTAATCCCAGTGTAGTTTGCATTGGTATACAATATAAATTACTGCATAATTACACTCATCCGTGTTTCCATGGATGGAGAATCTGTACTTTTACAGAGAATGTTAGATGCAGCAACATCTTAACAATAAGATTGACTTGACTGTGGAATTGCCTCTCAGAGAAATACTGAAAACCCCATCACATGAGTCATTGAAATATAGACTGGGCCAATATAAGAAATGTGTTGTAAGGGGCAATCTTGTGCTATTTTAGTTTCTTTTACATGAGCAGGAATTAAACATATTTAACCAAGTACAAAGGCACTTAACTTACTGGTACTTGCTTTTATATGATTTCTAAGTACTATACTGGGTCATGATTGGATATATAAATCAGAGTGTGTGCATAGGGCAGTTTTCCAGTGTAAATGCTTGGAGGATTCCCTGGAGGCTCTTGACATGAATAGGAAGAGTGATCCTGGAGCCAGTGGGTGTAGGTCAGTCTTTACTTACAGATTCTCAGGCTCTGGAGAGTAAAGTGTAATATCTTCTGGAGGGTATAGTCCTGGGATATGAAAAATTAGTGGGGCACACATGCTGTTTTGCATGAATAGTACTTCCACAGTAGTGCCATGCACCATTCATGTTGGGATTAGGAAATGTCATGCCCAGACATAGATCCAGGCTCTGATACCTGTACTTGCACTGAGCATGATTGTACCTTACATACAGTCCTACTGAATTTCCTAAACAGTGTAAGCATGGCCCTTGGTAAATGACCCTCTGGCAAATGCAAATAACCCTGGTGTTTCATTTGAATTCAATACTAACCATATTCTTATGGTGTGAACAATACCTCTGATTACCAGTCAACATATCCAGAGCCTGATTCTGCTCAATCTTTACTCCAGATTTATACTGTGACAAGAAAAAAGAACATCAAGCCATAGAGTATCTTGTATAGCGGTCATTAAAACTCTCTTTGGGGAGAGATGTAGCAGGGGTACTCCCACCTCTGCTACTAGGAGTGAGTGAATGCAGTGCCACAGGAAGGCTAGCAGCAAAGTGGTAAGCCAGGGGCCCAGTGAACGAGTGGACAAGGGTATGAAGTCCTGACAGAGCCCTGCCAGTGTACAAGACCTTATGGACTACATGGGCAAAAGCTAAGATTGGGTCAGGGGCTCAGTAAATAGAGACCTGCTAGGACCTGGTGTGAGCTGAAACTGAGAGGGCAAATAGGCCCAGTGGGCTGACACTCAGATGGGACTGGGAGCCCTGGGGAAGTTTGAGGAAGATCACTGAGGCATAAGCATGGCAGTGGGGCAGCTGAAGGCCCTTTAAGGTGATTAGGGGCAGGGGAACATGAATAGGGCCAATAAGGCCATGGTTGATGCTGGCAGCACACAGGTGGTGCCAGCTAGACTTGGAGAACTAGCTAGAGGGTCCAGGATCTGTGACACTGAGGCAGGGCTGGCAGGCCCAGAGCCAAGGAGGGTGAGTCCACACTGTGGGCCTGGAGCCAAGAGAAAGAACAAAAAAGTAATGCCTTCACCAGGCAGGAACTGGGACCAGAATGTCACCACCCAGAGATCAGCAAGGCAAAGTAAAGCACCCAACATTATTCTGGTCTCTGAGGACAGTCTTCCATGTTTCTCAATTAGACATCATGGTGTGGCAGGAAAGAAAAAGGCGATGGCCTGAAAGACCAGCAGGCCAGGACAGTGTCCAAGTTGCCATTATAGTGTGCCATGGCCATCCTCCACAAGCAGATCCTGTCACAAGGGTCTATCTTTTTGGTTCTCTAGTTGTACAGCACCTAGCACCATGGAGTCCTGGGCTGTCACCGGAGTTTTTAAACACCATGGCAATATAACTGGTAAACAGTGACAGTAATTGCAAGTGTGGCAGGAACAAAAACTGAGGTGCTGATCGTATGTGGTATAATCTAGAATTGACTCACTTTGTGCTTTAGGAACTTCACTCTGATGTCTCCGGGCTCTTCCCCAGCTGAGGTTAATAGCCTTTGCTTTCATGGAGCTATGCTCATGTGGCGGCTTGCCATCAGCAGCACAGCTCAGAAAGGCTCTGAGTGACTGGTGGGGCATTCCCACCAATCAGGAGATGGCATGGAAAAGACTTGCCCCACCCCTACCCAGGGGCAAGGGGAAGAGCCAGACCTGAGAGGGGACTGATGCCCCCCCTCCCCCCTTTTGATTGGTCCATTTTCAATCTGAGGGCAGAGCCCCAGAAGAGAATAAAAAGGCAGCGTGCCAGGCACATGGGCAGCTATGTCAAGGGATGAAGAAGAACATGAAGAAGAACTGGCAGAGGTGGCCAGCATGGTGGAGCTGTTGCCCCAGAAGAGCCCGAAGCCTCCTTGTTGGGTAGGGAGAGGTGAAGCGGCCACGTCCCCCAGTCCTGCTGTGAGGGAGCCTGGTGAGCAGTGCACAGCCAGTGCACAGAGGGTCCGAGAGGGACCGAGACCCTGAGAGCTGGACGAGGCAGCTCAGGTCTCCAACCCCTGGCATGAGGCCAGGCAGTCGGTGCACAGCCGGTGCATGGAGGGTTTGGGAGTGGACTGAGATCCAGGAGCTGCTTGAGGCGGCTCAGGTCTCTAATCCCTGGCACGAGGCCAGGAACATGATGCACAGGCTGTGCACAGAAGGTCTGGGAGCGGGCTGAGACCCCGGTGCTGCACAAGGCGGCTCAGATCTCCAACCTCTGGCACAAGGCTGGACATGCAGCATAGAAGGGCCATCAGTGCACAGGACAGTGCACAGGGCCTAGAGAAGGCCCAGGCCACAGAGAGCCAGGAGCATCTGGGGACTTCCTTGCTGAGGGAGGAAATGCCTCACCCAGGTAAACCAATGCAGCATATGTTGGGGCTAGCAGCGGGAAGGAAAACCCTAAAGGGAAAGGGCTCCTGGGGGTCTTGAGGGTTCCCCTTCATGGGCTATTCAGGCTGGGTAGCAGGGAACCTGAAGGGCCCTAGGGATCTTTCCCCTGTCATTATTTTTGGGGTACTGCCACTGCCCCAGGACAAGGGCTGTTCTTTTGTTCCTTTTAGAGATCTAGCTTCTCATCTGATGTTTCTGCACCTCATATTTTGTGAACCCTGCCCCTCATATTTTGTGAACCCTGCCCCTCATATTTTGTGAACCCCGCACCTTATATTTTGTGAACCCCGCACCTTATGCTTTGTAGATTAGTATTTCACTGAAGTATAAGATTGCATGATATTTACAGAGACCCTTTGTTTCCCAGATCCCTCACCTGCACCCAGAGTATATGCACAGACTTGTGTACACACACACACATACACACACACACACACACTGCACGTAATTCCCAGGTCCTTTGTATATATGTTCTATTTTAACTCTTTTTATATGTATATTAATAAATTTGTACATAGTTAAGTTATTGACTGTCTTGATCTGGCTCTATTGGGGAAGGAGGGAAACTGCGTGCAGCCAGCAGTTTCACTCCACAGCGCACCTGCCCTGCTAACATTCCCTTCAATTAGAGAGGAGAGTACATAATTGGGCACTACCCGGGCTACACCGATATACCACCTGCAGATCTGGGCCCTGGTTTCTTTTGTGTCTGCCAAGCTAACATTTTGCAACCCCATGTTCCAGGTCATGCTCGAGATGGATTCAAACCAAGCCTCTAGATCCAACCCCCTATGAACCTTATAAAAGCTGAAGTCCAGATTTACCTCTGAACTTTGCAGCTTGGGATCAAACTCAAGGTTTTTATGACCTCTTCATCCATTGACTGGTTGATAGGAGCACTTCAGAAGAGCTACAATACCCCAGAAAGCACATATATGTACATTGCATGATATCTGGCCTCCTGTTTCATTTCCTTCCATTCCCATGCTCTCTCTCTTCCTTTCTACACACCAAAAACTACTGCACACAGTGGTCCCTGGTGATGTAATGATTCCTAGCTAG